CTTATAACTAATATATCACACAAAAATTAAACTGTACAGTATTTTTGGGACCACATAATTAATTTTTCTTCTAAATTCCAGTTCACTTTCTCTTTTGATGCAAGGTATTTCTTCTAATTTCATTTTACTGTGTGCAAATAAACCTATCTGGTTGATTTCTGTCTTTTAAAATTTATTGGTTTTGGCTTTTTTTATGATCTGGTATTTGATCAGATTTTTTAAATGTTTGTGATTGAAAAGAAGGAGAATTCTATTCTTCAGTTATTAATTTAAGAAGGTAAATTAAACCTATTTTGCTAATCATACAGTTAAATTGGCCAATTAAACTTTCTAATTTTCATTTTTGGTCTCCATGGCAGTATGTACTATGTCAAATTAGTGAAGCTGGAGTTTTATTTTCATGAATTTGTTGCCTTATACGATGTCAGATAGTCTTAGCCAAAGAGGCAGACAGAAATCAAGCAAGAGCCATTTTTTTTCCAGAAGGTCTTTGAGTATCAACATGTTAAAGACACATGGAAAGGTGTCCAGAGGGCTCTAGCCTGTCTCCATTCTCCTTTCCTCTCTATATCCTGCACTTCCTGATCAGCAGTTGGTCCCAGGGCCATGAGTCAAACTTGGCTGCAGATTCAAAGCAGCAGCACCTACACAGAAATATCCCTTCCCATGGACCTCAGGAGCTCTCTTTCCCAGTTCCTCTTCAGCACTAGCTGACCCTGCAAGCTCCAAGTTGTTCTCCCATGACAGTGTTTCAGGAGAGATGAATAATGCCTTGTCAGATTTTTCCTGATCTTTTTTCTAGACCATTATTACTCCCCAGTCTTTTACAATTACAAAAGTTCACTTTTGTTAAAAAAAAATTCCTTTTCTTCCCTACAATATTATTATGGTTTAGATATTAGGTGTCCCCCAAAACTCACGTGTGAGACAATGCCTGAGAGTTTACAGATTTTAAAAAATCTCCTTTCTCAGTGACTCTGCATCTAGAAATCTGGGATAGGGCCTAGGAAGTCTGCATTTCCAACAAGTAGTAAGTAGTTCAGATACTTCCAATGGAAGTCGTTGGGGACTTCTTTCTGGGAAAAAAATGAGACTGAAAAAAAAAAATGGAAAGTATTTCAACACATTATTTTTCCTTGTGGATCTTTCTGTTCATCTTTATCATTTTCCAAAGTAGAAAAACTGAAGAGACAGCGAAATAGGAACTACCACATTCTCCCTTTTTTCTAGACCTTCTAGCTTCTTACTTAAAGGATCTGCTCTCTGTGTGAGTAAAAAATGTATTTCCTGAATGAACCATGATGTATGTGTGCATTTAAATATCTCTAAACAACAACATGAGTCAAAAATCTCTCTTAAAAGCACTCAAACTCAGAAAAACTATATCTGAGTTTTACTTGAAAAATAAATTTAAGATTATGTCAAAAGTTTATTTTAATATCACTTTATTCACTGAGCAAGTTTAAGTCTCTTGAAATTTATGTACATATTACTTAAGAGAAATTTTTTGCATACATGTGTATCCTCTTCCTGAAAAAAGAAAGAGAGAAAACAAAAAGGAGCACTTATTTTCTGGATTAGTCCCAGGGCATACAACCTCACACAAACAGAGAAATCTAGTCAAACATTTTTGGGGACTGGAAGCATGCATCTCACACAAATTAAGCCACACTACATGTTACTTTTGAACATTCTTATCAAATTTTACATAATGCTGGAATAGTTATACTTAAAAATCATTACACAGAAAATTGAACAGTAAAAAATGTGTCTAGAAAAAGAGCAACACAATAGTCACAGGATTCTTCATGGCATACTTCCAGTCCAACCAATGGTCTTCTGGTAAGGCCATTCCTTTATAATCTTCAATTACATAAGAGCTATTCCCTATTCCTGACACAAAACACAGAAGAGACAGGTTCTATTTTCTTTCTTTTTTTGGTACCGAAGATTGAACCCAGGGGCTCTCAACTACCAAGCCACATCCCCAGACCTTTTTGTTATTTTAAACAGGGTCTTGTAAAATTACTTAGGGCCTCACTAAGTTGCTGAGGCTGGCTTTGGACTTGCCATCCTCATACCTCAGTCTCCAGAGCTACTGGGATTTCAGGTGTGTGCCACCATGACCAGCCTGAGAGGTTCTTTTAAAACAATAGATTCCCTTTATGAATGGGCAGTATAAATTCCTCACTCTCAAAGGGAGTAAGTTCCCAGAGATCCATAGCTACTCTCATAGGGCCTGGCATTATTTTGGAACCAACTTTTACTTTTGACACATAATAGTTGTCTCCTTGAAGTTTCTCTAGTTTTTCTCCGACTTTTATAAGATGGCATGGGAGAGAGGTGCTTCTTTCCACCCACAGTGGCCATGCATCTGCACAGTACCTCTCTCTCCTAAAGGAACACAAGCAGGATCCAAAGGAATAAATACTTTCTTCTTCCTCCTCCTTTGCTCTGCTTCTTTTTCCTCATCTTCTCTGGAGAACTTGCTTAATAGTTTGGCTTAAAAGAAGAATGTTAAAGCCAGGAACATCCATGAGATGTAGTAAACTTAAGAGAGCATTTAATTAGGATCCTTCCTTTTTGATAGATTCATCTAAAATAAATATTTTAAAGGATTCTGTTTCTTGTATGCAAATAAAAATTGATGAAGGTAAGAATGACAGAGAACATTTGAAAAGAGTTATGTGTTATTGTTTTCTTTTTTTGGCTGAAACATTTTATTTCACATAAGATCTCAAATGTTCCCTGGAACATTTCTGAAAAGAAAAAGTGACCTCAATTTGATTAAGGGACAAAAACAACTCGAATGCTGATCACCATGAAGTTATACTTGGTGTTCAGGTGCTCTTAATCCAGCCCTCCAATAAAAACCAATGGATTTGGTTAGATGAAACAAATATTTGAATACATTTGGCTTCTGATTTTCGTTTGCAAACTATGAGGAAAGTGATACCAATATTTAATTTTAAAATCTCTAAAACAAGAAGAAACTTCTCAGTAAGAAATCACAAGGTGAATACAAAGAATATATCAATATATTTTAAAAGGAAAGTACCATTAATCATAAGAATTAATTATCTTAAAAACAATTTCTTCTTTTGCTGGTTTATTCGTATATTCTCTATTAACCCAACACTTGGGTACATTTGTTTTAAAGCTGTAGTGGACAGGTAACTTTATGAGTTAAATTTGTCTTTATCTTACTATCTCGCTCTTCTAAATACTTCAAGCCATAAAAATAAAATAATAAAATTGTATATCCAAGAAATTAAAGTCCATGCTCTTCCTTATTTTCATCAGCACCCAGGAAGGAAACAATATGAACTTGTGTACAATGTTCACTGTAATAATGCAGTTTGATTTGACAAGGTAATAATATTATTGTGTCTGGGGCTTATTTCATGGTAACCCTGACTGGTTTTCTCAAGCATGAAATATATCTCCTCCACATATATAATCATCTTTCAATTATGAGTTCAAGTTACCCAAAAATGTTCATGAAATATGCCCAGTGGATGACAAATTGGTTCTTCCAATACTGGGGTAATGGCCTTACAGTTTTATAGAATGCATAATCCCCAGTTTTAAATGCTTAATATTAATCAGTAGTTAATATTGTTCATCTGTCATATATTTAATATTAGCAATGCTATAAAATTCATTTACATTAGATTAAGAAATACTACTTTAAAAAATCTTGTGATACAGTTTCTTTGTGTGTGATAAACACTATTCCTTTGGAACTGACCTGTAATTTGAAACTAGAGAATCATATGGTATATAATTAGACTGCATCTCTCTTTCTCTCTAGTTGTAACACACAAATATAATACTTTGTTAAACAGAATAAGAGCTAAAATTGTTGTACATGTACACAGGTCTAAATTTGAGAGGAATAATTTGACAAATATTGTTCACTTGACTATCAAGTCCATCACATTATTTTTACTTTGTTGATTTTTCCCTTGGTGTTAAACTTTTTGGTCATTTCTCTAAGATAAGTTTATATTTGATAAATTGTGTCAAATCAACAGCCAATAATATGATCTCTCATGTGTCAAAGGCATAGGAACAAGGCACTGGGCATTGTGTACAGTGATACACCGATATGAAAATGCTGTAAACTTATTAAGAGTTAAAACTCCTTTAAGCAAATAGACCACATTTCATAAATAACTTTACTTAGCTTATACAAATAACTTGTGCTCAAAAAGGCTTCATGATGCAAAACAGGCATTCCAGAAGAAAAGTAATTTAAAAAACTTTAACAATTTTCTATATTGAAGTGAATACATAAATATGCATTCTTTAACTGCTAAGAAAACACAGGTAACTTTCTCCAATACCTTTCACTCACTTGAAGACCTAACAACTTTGTAATTTGGTTTTCCAGATAAGACAATCCACAGTCTAGAAATTATAGTTACCAAAGTATTATCATTAAGTAACTTGTTGTTAGTCTCTGTTGAAACTCAAACATTTAGTCTTTAGAAAAAAATGAATTCTGCATTTGCCTGGAAGAAGTATCTGGGAGTATGATGGAGTTTAACTTTTATTGGACAATTTCAGGAACAAACTCCTGCTGTGATATTTAACCAATATTCTTTAATATGTGAGTTTTATTATGTCATCTGATTTTGGTGTTTCACTTGCAGATTTTAAAATGGCAGGATTTATGTGACTCAGGAGGTCTCTCTGCTCCCTTTCTTTATGTAACATTTTTCTTGATGGGGAGGAGATATAAGCAACCCAAAAGAAGACCATAAAAATGTGCAGATGCACTGCAAGGAGAAGGGACAGCCCCAGTTCAGTGTTTCATTCTGAACTGCAAAACACCATGATTTCCCATAATCTGATTCTACATGTGCTTTCAACAATCATTTATAGGACCCTAGAAAACAATATCTGGGTAGGGCCCAGAGGATTATGTGAACAATATCACAAAGTTGGCCTCTTATGAAAGTATATAAAATTGAGTTAAAAAAAAAAGGAGTAAAATTGACACATGGCTTTTGGCCTCTGGCCCTAAACCCAGAGAAAAAAATTGGAGTGAGACAGGCAACCAGCTGCTTTTTCATTATGCTGATTAGATTGTTGATTTAGCCAGCTGTACTTTGCTTTCTTCCATCATGACTTGCTTGGAAAATAGATCTGAATTAATTCCCAAGTTCTCTTTTAATTTCTTGAGCTCAAAGTCATGGAGAATCTTGACAGTCATTAACTTTTCCCGTTTGAGTCTCTCCTCAACATCTTTTGGAACATCAGGAATCATCCAGGCCAACAAAAATTTAACCAAGAACACAATGTGCTAGAAAAAATATAAAGGGAAAACAAAGATACTGTTAGAATTGTTAACCATCTGGCGGGAAATCCTTATAAATAATCTCACTCATTCAATGAAATGCATGAAGCTTGAAGTTCTTGGGCTACCAAGAACCCTGTCCTACTATCATCATCCATACACTGGCATTTAACAAGTATATAATTTAAATACATAATTAGAGAAAATTCAATTGAGTTTAATTACTGAATATACATTTTATTTCTATTTCTTCCTGATGAGCTAGTAAAATATTTGTGAAAGAATTAATTTCAAGTATAAAGGAAGCATTTAAACTTGGTGATGTGGTGGTTGAGAGTGGAAACTGAAAAGACACAAACAATTTTGTTTTAGATCTTCAGAAAAGTTCAGGAAAGAAATCATTATATAGGTTGAACTTGAAAACAAGGGTATTAATTAAAGCTGGGAGCACTGATTCAAGCCTGTAATCCCAGCGGATTAGTAGGCTGAGGCAGGAGGATCACCAGTTTAGAACCAACCTCAGCAATTCAGTGAGTTCCTAAATCAACTCAGTGAGAACCTGTCTTTAAATAAAGTATAAAAAGGGCTGGGATTGTGGCTTACTGGTAAAGCACCCTTGGCTTCCATCCTGGTACAAAAAAAAAAAAAAATTAAAAATTTTTGCAAGATGCCAACAGAACATTCAGACCTTCTCTCTCTCTCTCTCTCTCTTTCTCTCTCTCTCTCTCCCTCCATACTCCACCCATGCAGCAGCTGAACAGTTCACTTTTACACAAGACAGCTGTGGATTTAGAGACATCGACATAGCCAAGGATGGCATTGTGGTACATACTGAAAACAAAAGTTTATAAAAAGGAAGTGCAGCATAATACACTAAGAGACCCCAGGTTCACTTGCCTTGCTCAGCTCTCAGTACACAGGCAACCATGAAATTCTCCATGAACAAGAAGTTGGAGGATTTTTCCCCATGGGTAAAATAACCCACTGATGAAAGTACAACTGCATTTACCAAAATTTTGTGGTTTTCCAATGAAATTTTTGGTTTACTCCCTTTACACTCTACAGTGAAATCTCTCAAGTGCAATCCAACTGTAGGCTTATAAAGTTTAGAATCACCTTTTAATTGCCTCTTTCTTAAGCATGAGCAAAACTACCAACTAGGTAAGTCTCTAACGTGAAAGAAAAAGAGAAAAATATACAAACAGGAACTAAAAGCAAAAAGGAGCAAAAGAATAGTAGAATAAAAAACAAAGGTATCAATCTATCACATTATAAAAGAGAAAATAAATGGTTATTAGAATTTGAAAATATGAATTATTTACCTGAATAATAAATTAGAAACAGAGAGGTACAACAACAACAGCAAAAAGAAACAATTATTAAGGAAATGATACAAGTAAATGCTCTCAACTTGAGAGGTAAGTATGTTTTCAGATCTAAGTGTCCACAATGACTATGTTGTTAAATAGTGAGGAACTGTTATAAAAAATTACAGAAGTAGGGGTTACTGAGAAAATTTCTAAAGCTTATTGAGCTTCAAAGGAGACCATAAACAAAGAGTAGGAAATAAGAATGGCTTTTAATTTCAAAACAACCCTGAATGCTGAAAGATGAAGAAAAGTCTTAAAACATTTCAAGAATACATAAAGCTGTTGGAACAATAAGGAACATAACTTTCAATCTTGAATTCTGTAACAAATAATCATTTGGGAACAAAAAGCCTTTTTGGAATATTCAAGATATCAAAAGTTGACCATCCCAAACTGAGAAAGTTACTGGAAGATGTGCTTCAACAAATTAAACTAGCAAACCAAAAAAGATTCCCAATACCATTTACTGGATAGAAAGGTGATCTTAACTTCTGATGAGAAATGTAGAAATAAAAGAGTAATAAATTAATGAAGAACTAAGTGGGGAGGGAAAAATAGAGTATGAAAGAGGGAAAACAAAATTACAGTAAAATCAATGTGTTCAGAATATAATCCATGAAGCAGATGTGACTATTATTTCTAAAGTCACAATTTATAGAACTTGACTATTGTCACTAATCTACAATTTCTTATTCAAAACTCTTTGCATAGGGATGTTGTTTTGCCAGAGGTATGATATCAGAAAAGTGGGTTTAAGAAGCTAAAATATTTGCCTTTGGAGATTAAGATGAGGATGAGGAGAAATGCATGAGAAGGCTCCTTTATGGCCATGTCAAACTATTTCATTTTTAAACTTCCATGTATAACCTTGATGATAATAAAAACAAATTCAAAAGAACCTGAATGGAATTGAATGTCCATGTGTCAGCATTGTTTATTTTGGGATTTTCTGCAGGGTAAAAAGGTGCCAAACTTTGTTTTCCTTCTCCTTTAATGGCCTTCCTTATGATTTGTAGCAATCAAACTTAGGATTTGTAACACGTCAAATACTCCCTCTGTATTGGTTATCTTTTCATGCATGTCTTGTCTCTGTAAATATATTAGATATTCCACAAAAGAGGATCCATAATATAATGAATGGTGAGAGATATGTGAGACTGGAGAGACTGGCTTGCTGGATATTTAAGATCAAGAATTAAAGATTGAATTTAAAACAAAAGGGCCAAGAAAACCATCATCTGTCTCTTGCCCTCTAAGTCCGCCTAAACCCAGGGAATAAGGGAACTTCTCTAAAGAGCTTTGCAAAGGAAAACCAATCAGTGCACTTGCAAGAGTGGAGTCATTGGAGAAGCGAGATATCCCTGATGCTTCCAAGCAAATGGAACTAAAGAGCTAAGAAGCTGCTCTTAAGTTCCTGAAGACTGACTCCCATGAGAACTCAGCTGACTCAACAATAGATCTGAATGAAGTCCATTTGACCAGCTTGATCTTAAACACTTAGCCAAAGCAGTTAAAACAAAACCAAAGTAATTCCTGAGCATATAAAAGAAGAAGCAATAGTTAACTTTAACTTAAGATATACACTTGTGTTAGCCCCTAAGAATAAATAAGACTGGAGGCTACAAAAGACAGATTCTTAGGCAGGAATACCTGATAACTATCAAGAAAAACTGCCAGAGTCAGAAGTTCTTAGTCAGTTTAAGGCCTATAGATTTTCCTAACCTCTACATGGGTAGGCTCAGTGTTTGCTAGTATGATTATCTAGCCTGAAGTACCAAAATAAAAAGATCTTTACTAAATAACAGGTCACACCAGTAAAAAGATATTTTACAAAATCAGATGATGTTAAATAGCTTAACTACACCTTATGGAGATGGACATCTGTGACATTAAAAGTGTGTGTGTACATTCCTGATAACTCTGACAATGTTAAAGATTTATATTCCCAAATAAAGGCCTTGCCCTCTCCAGCCTTGTTAAAGGATAAAGGGACAATTTTATTGACTTCTTTCATCTTCATGATATTCACTGACGTGTTCCAGATGCTGCAACATTTATTTTGCATTAATCTCATTTCAGTACTCATGTCTTTTTGTTTCTCTCTCTCATAGAAGTACCCATCCCCAGATAACTCTATAACCTGTTCCCAACAGCTTCAAGCTGAGAGGGACTGACCTAATTTCTAAAAAGGAAACTCCAAACTGCTTTCCCCACTCCATGTCACCCCGTCTCAGCTCGAAGCCATAAGAGAAGTTGTCGCCCCTTCTCCTTATAGTTGTAAGGAGTTCTTAAAATTAGAGGGGAGAATGAAGCCAGAATTAAAGACGAAGTCAGTATAGACAGATATATCGGGTTGGATGGACAGAATGGAGGCAAATTTCGGTCTGGGAAGTAATGTCCTCACAGTCCTTCCTCAACCCTTATCAAGATAACCTGCTCCTGCTCCAATCTGTTGCTAAGGTAACCTATACCAGGAATGTTCCCTCCCTATAGGGAATTGTAAAAGTTGTTAATTAATGCACCTGGGCCCTCTTCCTGCCCAGATCACTTCACATAGGCCCCTCCAGCCCATCTGCTTCTCACCTTTTTGCCATTCCACTGGAACATCTCCTAGGCCTAGTCACATATGCAGGAAGAAGAGAGAAATAACGAGGAAGAGAGAGGAGAACAAAGGAAAATATAGAGAATTTATAAAAGAGGCAAAACACTCTCACTTCTAGGGATAATAGGACACCAGCTATGGCCCCATTCTCCCTACTGGGAGAAGTCTGTATTACCCCTTTTTAAATAAACCCTGCATCTCTTATTTTTCCAATTGAATTTCATGGTTGCTTTTTCTAGTTCTATAAGGAATGTTAGTGAGATTTTAATAGGAACTGCATTGAATCTGTATAGCACTTTTAGTAGTATGGCCATTTTGACAATGTTAATTCTGCCTATCCAAGAGCATGGGAGATCTTTCCATCTTCTAAGGCCTTCTTCAATTTTCTTTCAATTTCTTTCTTTCTAAGGTCTTCTTCAATTTCTTTTAGTGTTCTGTAGTTTTCCTTGTAGAGGTCCTTCACCTCTTTTGTTAAATTGATTCCCAAGTATTATTATCATTTTTTGAGGGTATTCTGAGGGGTAGTTTTCCTAATTTCTATTTCAGAGGATTCATCACTGATGTATAGAAATGCATTTGATTTAGGGGTATTATGCTATTATGTCCTGCTATTTGCTGAATTCATTTATTAATTCTAGAACATTTCTGGTGGAATTTTTTGGATCCCTTAAGTATAGAATCATGTCATCAGCAAATAATGATAGTTTGAGTTCTTCTTTTCCTATTTTCATCCCTTTAATGAGAAGACCCAGAATATCCAAAGCAATCCTTAACAAGAAGAGTGAATTAGGAGGCATCACAATACCAGACCTTAAACTATATTACAAAGCTATAGTGACAAAGTAGCCTGGTATTGGCACCAAAGTAGACATGTAGACCAATGGTACAGAAGAGAAGACACAGAGACAAACCCAAATAAATATAGTTATTTCATATAGACAAAGGTGCCAAAAACATACATTGGAGAAAAGATGGGCTCTTCAACAAATGGTGCTGGGAAAACTGGAAATCCATATGCAGCAAAATGAAGCTAAACCCCTATCTCTCACCATGTACAAAACTCAACTCACAAGTGGATCAAGTACTTAGGAATTAGACCAGAGACCCTATACCTAATGGAAAAAAAAGCAGGCCCAAATCCTCATCATGTTGGATTAGTCTTCCTTAACAAGACTCCTAAAGCATAAGAAATAAAATCAAGAATCAATAAATGGGACGGATTCAAACTAAAAATCTTCTTGTCAGGAAAAAAAAAAATCAGTCAATGAGGTAAAGAGAGAGTCTACTTTTTGGAAGCAAATTTTGGCACATGAGATAGAGCACTAATCTCCAGCATATATAAAGAACTAAAAAAACTTAACACCAGAAAAACAAACAACCCAATCAATAAATGGGCAAAGGAGCTGAACGGACACTTCTCAGGAGAAGATAAACAACCAATCAACAAATACATGAGAAAATATTAAACATCTCTAGTAATTAGAGAAATGCAAATCAAAACTACCCTTATTCCAGTCAGTCAGAATGGCAGTTATCAAGAACATAAGCAACAATAAGTGTTGGTGAGGATGTGGGGAAAAAGACACACTCATACATTGCTGATGGGACTGCAAATTGGTGCAACCAATCTGGAACAATATGGAGATTCCTTAGAAAATTTAAAATGGAACCCAGCTATCCTACTCCTTGATCTATACCCAAAGGACCTAAAAAGAGTATAGTACAGTGATGCAGCCACTTAAATATTATAGCAGCACAATTCAAAATAACTAAACTGTGAGAGCAACCTAAATTCCCTTCAATAGATCAATGGATAAAGAAAATGAGGCATATATATGTAATGAAATATTACTCAGCATTAAAATAGAATCAAATTATGGCATTTGCAGGTAAATGCATGGAGTTGGAGAATATCATGCTTAGTGAAGTAAGCTAATCCCCAAAAAACAGGAGTCGAATGTTTTCTCTGATAAGTGGATGCTAATCCATAATAAGGGAGGGCATGGGATGAGTGGAGGAACTTTGGATGGAACAAAAGGGATGGGGGTAAAGGGAGCATGAGAATAGGAAAGATGGTGAAATGAGATGGATATCATTACCCTAGGTACATTCATGATTACATGAATAGTGTGACTCTACTTCATGAACAACCAGAGAAGTAAAAACTTCTGCTTCATTTCTGTACAATGAATCAAAGAGCTTTCTGCTGTCATGAGTAACTTATTAGAACTAATAAAATAAAGAATAATCTATTGGAAAATAAAATCAAAGAAAATTGACCTTACAATAGCATCACAACCATGAGAAATATACTAATTCATCAATGGGATACAATAAAGAGCATAGAAATAGGCACAGAAAATAAATAAACAAATAAACCCTGCTTTATATGCTTGCCTTGGCATGCTTCTCTAATGTTATACTTCAGTGTGTGAGGCAGCAGAACTTGTCACCCATAACTGGTGGTATCAGAAGCCTACTTCTAAAATTTACTTGATTTACCTTAAATCAACCACCTATTTTGGGAGGGCATCAATTTATTTGTCAAGGTGAATAAGTACAATTTATGAGATTGTTGTGACTTAAAATTGCCTCTGGAAACAGAATATAATAACTAAAATCTATAAAATCAGTGCACCACTTTCGTTCTCTCATCTCAGGGAAATGTGGTGACATTTTTCATTACCTTTTCTGTCACCATGGTCTCTTTGACATGAGTAAGTAAATAGCAGGCAACTCATCTGCATTGAAAACATAAACTGCCTCTTATGACAAGAAATATTTCCTTCAAAATAACTTATTGAGATAAAGCTAATGAGATGTTCATCATTACCCTAGGTGTACATTCGTGATTACATGATTACATGAATGGTGTGACTCTACTTCATGCACAATCAATCCTTTTAATTGATTCTTTTTAGTTATATAAAATATTAGAATTCATTTTGAATCAATTATAAAAAAAGAGGTAATTCTAACTTTCTGATGAGCAGGTACCTTTTGAAATAGCTACCTAAAGTGAGAGGAAAGAGTAACTGGAAGGAAAGTTAAGAACAGCTTACTTCCATAACTATAATGAAGGTCATCCTAGCAGCAAGGACATGCCAGAATTGCATATTATGAATGTATTTATCCTTATCTTCAGGAGGGTTTCTATAATCTCTGTACCTGAAAAAATAGAAATAAAAGCAAAAAAATTAAGTATAATTTCAACTATAGAGACTTGGCATGAGCTCTTATTACCCTGTTCATTGACCTCAAAAGTCAGGTCATAGGATGATAAAACAAATACTGTATTTTTTGTTAATATAAAACATTTTCTTGTTTATATAAAACCATGGCTGCATGCTATTTATATGCAGAAGATCTCTAAAGGAAACATACAATTGAAACATCTCTCATGTCCTCAAGACAAACTTCCAGTTACCAAACTCTGCTGTCTCCATTTTTCTCTCTTCCTACTCATCACCACGTAGTTCTATCCCTCTCTCCACCAAAACGGCTTGTATTCTCTTACTAATAAAAGAACAGTTTAATCTTCATTTTGTTTAACCTTTGAAGAATAGGATTTGAGATTGTTGACCATTTCTGTTTTCTTGAAACTGTTTTCTCTTACATGTACTGACACAGCATAAATCATTGTTTCTTACTAAATTTCTGGACTTTTCTTAATGTTCAACTCTGTGAGCTCATTCTCTTCTACAAAAGTCACTAGATACGGGATAACATTTCTTCTGATGCTAGAAAGTGATGAAACAAAAATCAGTGCCCATGTTCTTAAACATTATACTATGATTCCTTGATGTCTAAGTATGGAATATTACATGTTTCTATTTGCCTTGCAACATTCTTCTCATTCTTTGTTGGAATCCCAAAGGAGGCAGTGTTTTAAGGCTTAAATTAGGTTAAGGTATCTTGGTGTGTATGGGTATCTACCTACCCACCTACCTACCTATCCACCTATCTACATACTATCTTTAAATTCAAATAATATAAAGATCCTCACAGTGTTTGACTTACTGAATGTGGAAAAAAATTCATATCCCATTTCACATTCCCTACACAGAAAATTCCTTAAATGGGAAGACTCTCACATTATTATGTTATTTCTTTCTCATTCTACCTTTTTTTCTGAGGACACACAGATAAATTCAAGAAAGTTAAATGCCACATAAATATGATCATGCCGCATGACAGATAGATATTACACATTGAGACTAAGGACATTTGTTGGTGAGCAATAATTTTGAAAATAATACACCAATATTGGGTCTAAGCCACAAAAAAGCTGATTTATAGCGAGGGATTAGTATTCCAAGATTTTATAACTACAAAGTGGCTGAGATGTGACTCAAACCTAAATGCATTTGTCTCCCACCAAGCATGCATGTTCTTTTTGCCCACACTTTGCTCTTCTTACTTTTCTGATTATTTTCTTTTACAGTTCTACTATCCTTAACCAAAATAAGAAACTATCTGATATCAACATGATATTTACCCATAATATATTGTTTTTACACATTCTATTTTCCCAAATTTGAATCAGATAATGTGTGAATTGTAGAATTAGCATGCATTATTTATCAAAGGTTTTTGTTGACTCTAGTAAATCCTTTACATTGTAAGACAAGAAAGAAATGGATAATGTAAGACATACAGTTAAAGGGAAAAATTAAAACCTAGACAAAAAGAAACCTGCAAGTGGTGAACTCTCGTTTTTCCGAAGGTGCAGTGTGGTTTGGAAAATCAGCTATCAGGAATACCGACAGACTGTTATTGACATATCCTTTCAAAGGATGCGTGATATTTGTTGAATAGGCGTAGTAGTACACTAAACGGGGGATGATGTCTGATGTAAACGCGACAATAAAAGCCTGAAGGACAAAGCAAGAGAAAGATAGTGAGCTGTCAATCTCATTTTTCAAATGTACTATCTGTATATTTCTCAGTACCCAAGAGACATGGATGCAAAATGATTAAAACATTATTATAAATCATTCTACTCATATGCCAGTCTTTGGTTTAAAACATGAAATAGCTTATTTATAGTGAAAGATTACTATTCCAAGATTTTACAAACTACAAAGCTGCTGAAATGAGAACTGAACCAAATGTATCTGTCTCCACGAAGCATGAACTTCCCCCCATGCCTTGCTCCTTTTTACTTTTCTGATTGTTTCCTTTCACTACTGTCCTTAACCCAAATTCTCATGATTAGACCAGCTCCATAATCTAGCTGTGTTTGTGTGTGTGTGTGTGTGTGTTTACAGGAGGCAGATAAGGAGGAAATGGAAAGATAGAAGACCAGATGCTGATTAACCATACTTAATTGCTCAGTACAATTAATCTCAGCATTCAATTTCATGTGGATGTTAGTGTTCAATTCTTTCATGAAGTGTTGGAATTATACAAATAGCATGTTTTCTTTAGAACAGATGAGTCAATTTAAATCCATCTGGCTATGGCATCTTCATTTTTATCAGATTTTTTTAAAAGCCATGGTTATTACTTTTTGGCTACTAATCTATTTAGGTTCTCTATCACTTGTTGAATAAATCTGACATATTTTTATTTTTTAAGAAACTGTTAGTTTCAAATACATTTTTTTAGAATAAATGGCTACATAGCAGTCTCTCATATTTTTTTTCCAGAATTTTGTTTTTTTATTTCTTTCCAACAAAACAGTTCTTGATTTAATTAGCAATTATGTTACTTTTGTTTGTTTTCTAATTTGGTTATTTATGATTTTTTTTACTTATTCTTTTTTTTACATATCTTCTACTGATGTGTTTCATAAATTTCCTTTAGTATCTTAGGTCAAATGCTCAGCTCATGTTTTCCAGTTTTCTTTTTTAAAAAATATAAACATGGGGTTAGGGTTGTGGCTCAGTGGTAGAGCGCTTGCATAGCATAAGTGAAGAATTGGGTTTGATTCTCAGCATTGCATATAAATAAATGAATAAAATAAAGGTCCACCAAAATCTAAAAAATATTAAAAAATAAATTAAAAAAAACATGTATAGGTATGAAATTTTTCTCTGTCAGTGTGATTTTAATTCATTCCTATATATTTTCCTTTTAATTTTGTTCTGTCTATAATTTCATCATTATTTCCTATTATAAAAGCTTACTTAGAAGAATAAAAATTAAGTGGTTAGATTTTTTTCTTTGATTATGTTAGTATCACCTTCAGTTTTCAAATATATTATGGGTAAATATGCACTGTACAATTTGTACTGTTGAGAATTTAGTTTTCTTCTTAATTTTTCATAAAAGCTCTCTAACCATAAGCAAATGTGTATTCTTCATATCATTATTTATTTTCTAATCTGTCACACACTATGAAACTGTGTCATGGATTGTCATGACATTTTAAAGAGTAATTGTACTTTTTTCTTGTATTTTTAAGAGTTTACATGACATAATTCCTTCCTTTATGACTTAGTGCATGAATGTTTAGGATATTTTATCTTCTTGGCCTACTCTCACGATGAAATCACCCTAACTAAAGACTGAGTTAAGTACCATTCACATGTCCCCATTCCTATGAAAACAAAATAGGACACAGTCACCCAACCAAAGTAGGTCCACTTACATTAGTTGCAACAGAAACAACGGCCATTCCATAAAGTATGTCTTGCCAAACACCTATGCTATGAGCTTTGGCAGCTACAGGTCTCCTATACTGAGTAGTAAGTTTCCAGGCATCCACTCGGATCTCTATGATGTTATTCAGAAGGGCAAGAAGAGGGGCCAAAGGAAAAGAGGCCACAAATAGTGTGACAAATCCAAATTGGATAACTGTAGAGATTAAAAAAGAACCATTAACTCATGAAGAAGAAAAGAGAGGAACACATTTTCAAACTCCTGCCTCTTCTTTCATTTGAAGAGATCCATATCAGTAAAACAAACCAGGCCTCTTTCCATCTGCCTATTGCATCCTCCACATAGAAGGCAGAATGACTTATCTGTTAGAACTGGAAAGAACTTAGATGCATACCTCAGATATTTTCTTGCTTTTTTTGGAGATCTGCTTGTCTGAAGAAATAATCTATTCTTTGTCTTTATTTTATTTCGGTATGGGGGACAAACTCAGGGATGCTTTGCCACTATGCCATATCCCCAGATCTTTTAATTAATTAATTTTAATTTTTTTTAAATTTTGAGAAAGGGTCCCACTAAGTTGCTTAGGGCCTCACTAAGTTGCCGAGGTTGGTTTCGAACTTGCAATTCTCCTACCTCTGACTCCCAAGTTGCTGGGATCATAAGCGTGTACCATCGCGACTGGCGTTCTTTGCCTTTTATTTTATGGTAAGTTTAGGTTTATGCTAATCTTCAAATTTGTATTCGCATATAAATTTGTGTTGGGATAATTGAGTTTTTTTTTTTGTCTTGTTATCCTATGTACATTTTGAGATGAATGACATCTGGATGCTTCTAATACCCACACCCACCCACACATACCCCTTATATGTAGGCAAAGAAATAACAAAATTTCTGGAATAAGGTATCTGCTAAAGCCCTGATCTTATGTATTACCTTGGTTATCTTTCTGAGTTTTACTCTCTCCCCTCATTAAGACTTAGCAGGGGAACTATACCTTTGCAAGTGGGCTTCTCTTCTTATTTTTGCTCTTTTGATTCTAGCAATGCTGGAACCCATGCAGCTGACAGCCTGAACTTTTCTTCACATGAATGAAGAAAATATAATGAGAAATACAGAAATGACTTTCCATTTAAAGAAAAAAGAAAGAATCTTCCACCAGTTTTCTATTTTAAAATTAGTCCTGAATGTTTCTGTATTTCATCTTTTTTTCATAATAATGAATCAGGTGTGTTATTAAGTGAATACATATGGACTCTCTCTTCTCCTGCTATCTTTACTGACTTAATAGAAAATTAAGAGAAAACATTTGGTTGAAGCAGTATGAATTTTCCAGGTTCAAATCTCAGATCTTTACCTAGAATATTTGTGATTCACAGAAAATTAATTAGGCTAAGTTTCAGTATTCTCAAAAGTAAAATGTCAAATAATGACTAGTCAGCACAATTATTTTAAGATTAGAGATAATGAATGGAAGTTTCCAGAACAAATTAACTCTCAATGGGTCTCAATAAAGAGTAGGTGATTGAGGTCATCTCCTGCATTGCTCCATGATTTTATGAGCCTTGGAAATCAATGAAAAAAAGTTGTCATCTATAATTCCACCAGAAAAGGATAGTCACTTGGGTGAAATACTCTAAGCAGATTATAGAGCAGTCCCCAGCACTAACTTTCCTAACATATCTCAACATTTCTTTTCTGTCCAACCCTTGAATATTTTATGCATTTATTATGTTCAGATTGTATCTATCCTGCAAAACCGCTTTTACATTCTTCTCAGTCTGATATTAAGGATATACATTAAATGCATGTAAAACTCTGGAAATGTTTTACAACTTATTTTCTCTCTGAGCTTTCACTAAGGCAAACAAGGAAAAAATAGCCACTGAAGTAATTTGAGAAGGGTGTTAATCTGTGATTCTGACTTAATTTGTTTCAACAATATTAACATTCAATTGTCAGGAAAAATCTCTCTAAGATTCATTTGTTTTGGAAATAAACTTTAATTTATGTTCTGTTTAGTGAGACAGAGAAATGGTGAATTAACTTATCCATTTTTATCCACCCATCTTTTCACCCTCCATCCAATGATACTGAACATCTACTAAGTACAAGACAGAAAAAAAATATTAAGATCTGAAAAACCACTCATTTTATTCAAGCCAACTCTTTCAGAATGGTGGATGGAAATTACCTGTTTCTAAGTATTCATAGAATAACCCCAGTTGTCCAAAAGTTTCAAGGTCATGATCCTGCTCCCAGCGACTGTACAATTTCTCAGAGTTGGTCCGAGCTTTTCGGCGTCTCCACCAATTAAAAACCAAGCTGTTGGAAGTGACAGAAGTAAATACATGAAAGAGAGCTAAAAAGGAAGAGGTCAGAGAGTTAGTGTGCTGAATCTGGAAAATGGCAGTAAGGTTAAATAACTGAAAGCTACAGAACAAGAAGTTTATAACTAAATTTTAAATCAAAATCTATTATTCTTTTCACCACAAATGTGGAGGTCAAGATTTCCTCATTGGAGTGATTAAGAAAACAAGACCACTCTGAAACTGATCATGGAAATATATTTGCTCAGATACAGGTTTGTTGATGAGCATGTGAAGAAGATCGCCACTAGAACCATTTAATAAACTTTATATTATCACAATATTCAGAAGGACATTCAAGGAAATGAAAAATAGAGATTGTTTATGAAGGAAAATATAAAGACTTTTATAGATGCAATAGTACTATAAAACTTTAACCAAATAAATTCCATACTATATAAAAATGTATTGTGATAATGTTCAATGTTTTGGATAACAAATGCTTTTTTTTTAAGTAACATATCTATGAAATAGACCATATTGACAGATTTAAGTACAAAAATATAAAATCATCTCAACTGGTGCAAAAATGTATTTGATATAGTTCAAACATCTATTAAAAACTACTTAGAGGTTTTAATAGATGTTTGAAATATATAACAAAAAACTTATCTGATCAAAAGTATCTAACAAAGTCCTGAGGCAAACATCATTCTTAACAGTGAAAAAAATGAGAATTGCTCCCTTTAGAATCAAGAAGAAAATAAGATTATGCAGGATTATATTTAAGATTCTAATGTAGATCTGAGCCAGTAAAATAAGATGTGGGAAAAGTGAAAGAGAAAGCTGTGATTAACAATGACATGACTATCAGCATAGAAAAACGATATGAAGTTAGACAAAAATTATTAAAAGAGGTAATAAGGTTTATCAATATGTTTCATTCCTATATACCCAAAACAGAGGGCAAAATATAAGTTTTAAGAAGATATCATTTACAATAGCAACTAAAATTAAAAGTACCTAGAAATGGATTTGACAAAAGATTTAAAAACCTTTATGCACAAGTTTAAAATCTGCATCTGAATTCATTAAAGTACAAAATAAATCTCTGTGAATAAGAAGACTTGCTTCATAAAATGTCAATTATTTATATTGAAATAATTGAGATGAAATTTCTATAAAACATCCAAAACATGTTCCATGTGAAATCTAACAATATATTTTTTAAGCTTTATAGAGATAGACAAAAAGATCAAGGATAGTTAATACAGTTCTATAGATAAGGACTAATTTGGTAAAACCTTCCCCTTCAGATATCAAGACCAATTATAAACATATATTAATTAAAAGACTATAGTATTAATGCACGAGTAATCAAATTTTGGAACAGAATGGTGACCTAGAAATAGTTTTGCACTTTGTGTATTACAAAAATGGTATTGTAGATTATGGAGTATAGGAAAGAGGAGTCTCTTAGTAAGAAATAATATAACAATTTACATATACATGTATGTAATTTATATATACAAATATATACATAAAAAATTAGATTTTCACCTCATATCAAACATAAAAAATGTTTCCACATATTAAGAATTTGAAAGTAAAAAAACAATAATGTTAAAATATACTTTAAAATTTAGAAGAATTATGTAAGAGCATTTTTTAAATCTTGGGTTAGGGAAGAATTTTTTAAACAAGATGTCAAAAATGTTAACATAGAAAAGACTGATAAATTCTACTATAGGCCTTGAGTATCCCTTATCTGAAATGTGTGGGACCAGAAGTATTTCTGGATTTTGGAATATTTACTTGTACATAGTGAGGTGTCTTGGGGATTGGATCCAAGTGAAAACATGAAATTCAAATATGTTTGATATATACATAAAATACATAGCCTGATGGTGATTTTATGTACTCTCTTAAGTAATTTTTGCATGACATAAATCAGAAGATCATAGATCAGAAGAATACTTTATCACTACAAATCTAAAAAACCTTACGTGTCTTTTCTAAATTTCTACAAACAGCCTGCTGAATGTTCTTCAATTTTTAGTTAATTATGATAGAATTTTGCTTGTTTCCTGATCTGCATGCCACAAAGTAGCCTGTATCCACTGTGATGTTGAAGGTTAATTTCTTTCAATACACAATACAGATCTTAAATGTTAGCTTTTTGCAGATTTTTTCTTCTTTTCATTAATTCTCTAAATCCCCTTCAGCAACCTATTGAATGTCTGTCTGTCTGTATCTCTGTTTATCCAGGTCATATGGTGGTCATTCCAGCACCATACTTGTCTGTAAAGATATTCTGCACTTACACTGCTGACCATTTTCTCCAACAGCTTAACTTTCTGTGCCATAGATAAATTTAAGTGCTTTCTTTTTTTCTTAACACTATTACCAATGGTAGAACCTGCAATCCTCTGAAATTTCCAAGAGTATCTTCACACCACAGGACAAAGAATAAGCAAAAAATATGGTGTGAATAATGCATATACACTTTGGCCCCAAGTAAAGTATCATGGAGAAACTGTTGTTGGGGCATCTGATCTGTGCTTTTATTAGCATTTGTGAGTGTGCTTGTGTAGGGAAATCTGGGAATGTGTGGAAAAGATATGTTGCAGCTGAAAGGGGCTGGGTGGTATTTTTTCTGGGGGACACTAAATAGATCAGGTATTCGAGTCATCATTTTGATTGAGACTCTCACATGAGGTCAAGTGTGGGATTTTCCACTTATGGCATTGCATAAGAGTTCAGAAAGCTTCAGGGTTTGAAGCGTTTCAGATTTTGAATTTGGGATCAAGGGTACTTGACCTGTAATAAAATTATGTGCTTTCATCCAGATAAAGCATTGACCCCCAGTCAACAGTGATTTTTTTTCTGACAAGAGCACCTTTTCAATGTCTAAAGACATTTTGTCTGTCATAACTATAGAGTGGGTGGCCTGAAGGCATCTAGAAGGTGCAGACCAAGGATATTTCTAAAACTCTATGATGCAAGCCCAGCACAAGGCTGCAATCCTGTAATCCCAGTGATTCGAGGGGCTAAAACAAGAGGATTGCAAGTTTGAGGCCAGACTCAGCAACTTAGTGATACTCTCAGTACTTTAGTAAAAACTTATCTCATAAAAAAAAAAAAAAGGACTGGGGATGTGGTTTAGCAGTAAAGCAACCTGGATTCAATCTATGAGAACAGCAACAACAACAACAAAAATCTACCATGCAAAGGATATCCTGCTAAAACAAAGGATTATCTGGCCCTAACTGAAAATAGTGCTGAAACTGAGAAAGTATGGATACTATTAAAAAATAAAAAGATAAAATTTTTGTTAGGATAAAATATTTTCAACACATTTAACCAAGAAAGAATGAAATAAACAACGGCAACTAAATATTTAAAAATTCAGAAACCAGAATTTCTGAAGTATTCCTACAGATCAGTTAGGGGAAAAAAGTAGGAAAATAGTTAAAACAACATAAATAAGTATTTCATTGAAAAGGAAACACACATGGGCAAGAATTTCTTTCATATTATTAATTGGGGAAAAAGCAAAATAAAACCAGAATGAGATATCATTTATACTTCCCCATGTTGACAAAAATGAATAAGACATTATGAAGTATTGTAGCAATTGTGGATTAAAATGAACATTTATATATTGCTTATATACAAACTGAAAAACAAAGAGACAAAGGAACGATGAGAGGGAACAGAAAAGTTGAGATTTTTTGAGACAATGCTAAACAAATGCACACTGAAAAGGTGACTATCAGGTTTAATAAAGAAGCTTGTGAGAAATTCCAGAAACTCTTCCCTGTCCTTGACTCCATTCAAACTCCTCAATCCCCACAGCAGCAATGATTATCTTAAATTCTGTAGTAATCACTTCCCTTGCTTTCTCAAAACGTTTTATCATCTATGATATATTGCATGTTGATCTTTAAGTGCAAGTTAAAGTTAATATGGAATTTGATATTTTGCATATAGATGCTTAATTATTTCAACATAGCTGAAAAACTTTCTTTACTCAATTTTTGCAACTCTTCAAAAATAAAATGACTGTATTTGTGTAGATCAAAAATTTCTGCACACTCTACAATCTCTATTCTTGTGATTCATGCTCTGTTCCATTGATTCATTCCTTCACCAATTCCACACTGCTTTGATTAATGAAATTTTATAGCAAATTTTTAAAAAGTGAGTAGAATAATTCCCCCAACTTTATTCTTCTATATTATATTTTTGAGCTACTCTAATTTCTTGGTCTTCTATAAAAACTTTAGAATGTGCTTGTCTATACTTACAAAACCCCTGTTGATATTTTGATTAAAATAAAATAAATGTATATAGCAATTTGGAAGTACTGACATTTTTACCATGTTATGTCTTTGAATCCATAAACAGGCTATTTCTCTGCTTTTACATATTTTTTCTTTCTTTCATTAGGATTATGTATTTTTCAGCATACAAATCTTGTATGACTTCTAGATTCAAAGAAAATATTGCAGTTTTTGGAACAACAATTTCTGTGCTAACCAATGTTTCTTGCATCCCAAATTTTTCTGTGTTTTTTTTTTCTGTTCATCTATATGTTTTAATAGTTCTTTCCATGAAGGTCGATGAATGCTAAACTCTCCTAGTATTTTAATATGTCTAAAAATGGCATCATTTCACCTGCATTTTAAAGAATAGCAAACCTTGTTCCAGAAAACTACAATGAACATTATTTTCACTTGTAAACTTAAAAATATTGTCTTTTACACCTAATGCTATCAAGAAGAAATCTGTTGATAGTGTAATGACACTTTTTTGAAAGTATTTTATCTTTGAATAGATTTCAAGACTATCTTTAAATATTCTAATATATTCTATAATAAATCTGGATGAGAATTTAATTCTAGTGACCTTGCATAATTTTCAGAATGCATTTCTAAAATTCATGTTTTTTTCATATTTGAATTATGTTCAGCTATTACACTTATTCCACCTATTCAAAGAGTTTTTCCCTGTACCACTTACCTAAATTATCTTTTACTGGAACTACTGGTAGATTAAGATGAAAGCGTCTTTATCCTACAGATAATACTTTTAGCTATTTGGCGTGCCAGGGATCAGACCCAGAGCCTTATGCATGCTAGGTAAGCATTCTACTGTTGAGCTATACACTTAGTCCTGTAATTTTTTGAAAACCTCATCCTGCACTGTACAATGTCAGAATTTCTCTGTAAAATTCAGTAATTTATTCTTAAATCATGTTCAGTCTGGAATTATACTCTGGAATTTTCACATCTATTGTATTTGTTATTTAAAGTATCCCACTTATATGTAATTGACTCCCTTTCACATTTCGTTTTTCTTATTTCAGTTTTTATTCAATTACTTCCTGATTCTTTTTAATGACAGTGTCACTTCCCTTTATGTTTTTAATATAATCAATGTAACTTTTATGGGCATTGCTGGGAGTTTCTAACTCAAACCATCAGCTAAACTAAGCTCATTTGCTAAAAAATTATTTTCTTTACAATATTTGTAGCATTAAATCTCATACAATAGTTTGGTATTTAAAAAAATTCTTGTTTTTATTCCCTCATCTCTCTCTATCCTCCTCTGTGCATATTTATAATCCCTCTTGTATTTGGTTCAGGAGCTAACTCTGTTCTGTCCTCTGGATTCTCAATCTAGAGCTATGATGCAAATAACAGGTTTGAGTTATTTTCTATAGGAATGTGGTGCTACAAATTATGAATCCAGAAGAGGGCTTGGCTGAAACCTATTACTGTTTAAAATTATGATTATATTTATCCTTCATCAGCTCATGAAATAGAATCCTACTTGGCTCTATGACTGTGGGTATCTTGGAGTAGAGGTAGATGAAGACAGTATTTTCAACCTTCCTTCAAAAATAAGAGAAAAAACTCAGTCCCTGGCTTTGAGTTCAGTTAATCTGACTAGTCCTCTGTTTATGAATGAGGCACTTTTATTCTACTTTATCCTGTAGGTGCTAAACTCTGACATTGTCATTTCCAAAGTAAGAACTCTGCAATGTAAGAAACATGATTTTATGATTCTTTATTTTTTTAATCCAAGAGAATAGTCACCTAATAATTGAAAACAACTGCTATTTGTTTTTCTCTTTTGATGATATATTCATTATTGCTCTTTTTGGATAAAAGAAGAATCCTTTCACATATTGACCTGAAAGTTTTCTAGCATTTTATTCACAACCAATTTTTATGCCTAGATTGCATTAAACATGAATATATTTAACATGAAATAATAAGTAACATGTAGAATAATTTATAAATGATTAATATTTAGATTTACCAGTGAAATATTAGGGGGAGATGATGATAATTACTTTTCCCTCAACTTCACTCATGCAAAAGAAATGCAAATTTAAAAGCCTGTGCTGTGTGTAAAACATCACACTGTAGTCCATTAGTATGTAAAATTATTATTTGTCAATTGAAAAAAAATTAAATTAAAAGCAGTTTTTAATTTAATTTTTTTCAATTGACAAATAATAATTTTACATACTATTGGAATAAATTTATTTCTTTAAATAATGAAATAAATAAAAAAGGTTTTTATTTATTTTATTGCTTTAAAGTATCCTTTAGAATTGATTTTAAATGAAGGGTTTTTTTTTGGATTAAATATTTTGTAACAAAGGCACCATGATAATAAAAAATTTCCATTTTCTTCATGAGAAAATTTTTCATGGTTAATTAAATCACACAAAAACTTGTCAGTCATACATACGGATAAATGGCTTCTTTAATGTTTCCAAAGATCTGTTTCCCAGTCATTACAATGGTCATCTGTGTTGTCAATTCTATTAGACAGCCTCCAGGATCACACTAGTTGGAAACAAGTGGAGAGAAATAAAAAATGAATGACAAAAAACAGAATTTTGTAAGAACTTAAAGAAACCCCAACCAGAAGATTAGAAACTCAAATGTTTGGTATGAAGGTCTATGAAGAAGGTAAAAGAAATATTAGTCCAATAATTTCAAGCACGGTTACAGATCAGTGCCAGGCTAACTGTATTACATTAATCTGTGAACTCTGTTAAAAACACAAATTTCTTTACCTAGTCCTAAAAAATTCTGAATCTTTATGCTTGGGTTAGGGTCAACCATTGTATTTTCCATGTGATTGGTATGTTCATCCAGGTTCAGAAACCACTGCTCTTGTCTAACTCTGTAGCCCACAATAGAGCACTTTCTCCAAAAAGTAATAATTGGTCTCTTCTATGAAGCCTCAGGAATCAAGATCTTATTAAATTTTTATTTTATATTTTATTATCAAGCCATAAGATCTGTATAAATTCTTGTCCCAAGAGACCTGAAAAGTCTAGAAAATGGCAGGATTCATATGTGTAGAGTTGGTTGTCAGACTTTTTTTGCAATTTGATAACATCTGAGTTAGTGCTAAACACAAGGAAAATTCTTAGTTAATGCTGAGGTAAGCCAGAGACTTCAACTTTAAAAAGAACTCTTACCTCTTCACTTCTCCACACATTAAACAAATATGTGTATTTTCCAGGATAGCCCACAAACTTTCCTTTAAAGAAAGCTACATAGAAGCAGGATGAGTAATAATTTACAAACTGAAACAGGAACATTTTCAAAGTAAGACTGCTCTCATACTCCTGGTAAGTTCGAGGAATTTCTGGCAAGTAAAAAGAAACAGAAAAGTAAAGAAAAAGAAATAAAGAAAAGTCAAGATTTAATACAATTTCCTAATTGTCCTTAAAATATATACTCACTGGAATAAGTGAATGCCTAGTCATATTATTTTGAGAGCCAAATAAAATGCTCCCCACTCTGATCATGGCAGAACGATATTAGTAAATATGATTTGTCTAGGCTTTCTGTTGAACCCTTTCTGTTAATATAATCACTGTGAAAGCCCAGAAAGCTCCATTTTTCACATTTCAAGGGTGAATACTTGTTGGGGGGGGGTCACATAGTCAGAATATGGAATTCAAATCCCTTTAAGATTGAAGAACCATGGGGTCATTACCAGACCTGTATTCCTATAAACCTGCCAGAATTCTCTCCCTTTTCTATTTTCAATTAGAAAAGTTTAAACAAAGTGATTCTACATCAAGGGCAGAGATTTCAACTGACCTATGTTTCTTCTCAAGAATTAAAATGATGTATCAATTTTGAAAACAATGTGATGGCAATTAATAACATAAATGGTACACATTTTTCCTCTCCTTTACTTAAAATGTATGATCATGGTTTGACATTCAACATATTCCAAAGTAAGAAGATATTAAATTCTCTTCATACTACCTGGAGTACCAGGAAGCATGTGATTTTGAGCTAATAATCTCCCAATAGCACAGCTGACCCAGCCAAATCCATGACACTTTTAGGAATACTACAATAGTAACAAGTTATTCTAATGACACTGATAACTCCTCCATGTTAGCAAAATTTGGTTGACTTCCAAAAAATCTCTAATATGAATTCATTGATTTTTCTCAATGTAAAAAAGCCGTGACTTGATAGGTGCTTTTAAAAGCAGTTTATCTGCTATGGTTTTCTTGGTGTTGCTAGCAGAGAAAAGAAGTAAAATTGAAAGAGAATTCCAAATCTGAAGATTTGTGTAAGTAAAGCTACCTGGCATTGTGCCGCAGTCCGGCTGCAGCAAAATAACCGGGGAGTGACGAGCAACTTGTGTAGATTGATACAGCAGGAGTAGGAGCCGTTTATTGTAGGGCAGGAGTGGTATATATACATTCCACATAGCTTATCTTAATTAGCATAAACTAGATACATCAGTCAACCAATAAGGAAACTCCACACTTAATGGCTCGCTGGCGTTACTTCACAAACCACTCCCTCTGGCATTTTGCCAGGCGCCATCCAGACTTGTTTACAAACACTAACATTTCTCTGGCAAAATGCCAGGCGCCATCCTGACTTCTTTACAGACTCTAACATTGCATTGCTCATATCAGTGCTGGGTGAAGATTTTGTGGTCTTCTTGTCTGCATGGGACATGGTGCCAGTGCATAGACAGGGTAAGGGGAGCATGATGAGATCCTGAGGTGAGGACTAACCAGAGAAGATACACCTTGGGCTGTGTCTCAGATCTATCTCTAACTTGTTATGACAACTGCACTCTGTACTACCATCCTTGATTGAATCCTTTGCTTTACCCGTGACCCACTTCACCTTCTCTCATGGTTTAGAAATTTAAAACACAAGCAAGAAAACAATTCAGATTCTAAGAGATGGCAACTGAAGAGAAAAGTGCTAAATTTGAGATTTATTTTGGAGGAAATAATATTCTTTATCTCATGATATTTTCCCAAACCGAATATTTTCAAACAACCATACGCATGAAGTCAAATTTTCTTATATTGAGTGCATTGAGGATTTTAGTCAGGATTCAATTAGATCCATCAAGGGAGGATTAAAACAAGAATACTAAAAATTATCTAGAGTCTTAATTTTCTTCTTCGTCTTCTGTTCATCCTGCTTCCATTAAGATAGGCCTGAATGTAGCTATTAGCAGATTCTGAACTACCAGGAGTGGATCTACTTAGAGATCAGAACTGCCTTAGAATGGTACTTGAGGAAATGAACTCCCTCAGAGATGATCCAAAATGGATGTGTAGCATTGGTAGGGACATATTTTCAATCACAGTGATGATCTGGCTAGCTTACCCATTTTTGTAATCCAGGCAGATATCTTTTCATAAAAGAAATTCAAGATCAAGATGACAATAAAGTTCAAGCATGATCCTGAGAGTGATGTGGCTAACTGAGGAGTAAAGTAAACTTTAACATGCTGTAAGGTTGCCTCACTTTCCATGAAGCTAGCAAATGTAGCGAAGACGGACAGGCGGTACACAATCACCGCTACCATGCTGCTGACAACAAGAGCCATCTGGGGAAGGGAAGCAAAGCAAAGAATTAGTCATGCAGGTCTCTATCTGCAATACATACATTATCTCTTATGGCATTATATTCAGTTTAGCAATTGTCATATGAAAACCAAACCAAACCAGTCTCTCTTATGGATAGCAGGACACACACAGTTGCAAGGTAGAGTTAAAGGAAAATCACTGAATAGCAGCTGGTTAAGGACAAAATAGGAAAAAAAAATGTATTCACTGTCAGGCTTTTTCTCCTGACAGCATTTAGGAAACAACAACCAGAAGACCAAATCTGTTTTTTTATGGCCCTTCAGTTAATATTCCCCACCCTCCAACAAATGTAAACGTTATAAGAAAAAATGAAGACAAATTTGTGCCCGAGATTATATGTGGCCATAAAGCCTAAAAGTATGTGTATCTCCTTTAGAGAAAAAAATTTGCTGATTCATGTTCTAAGTTGTAGTTACACAGATTCCTCATAAATTTTGTACACGTCCTATATTGTAAAAAAGATAGTCTTAATTTCAATGGGTAGAGAACTTTTATTCTAAGCACTGAAGAAGAAACTCAAATTGAATGAGAACTAGTAAGCAGGATAGAATAATCTTTCTGGGACCATATTCCAAAATGTTTCTCAAAGAGTGTCCTGAATTGCCTCCTCTTCATTTACCACATTTCTACCATGGTTGTTGGAAGTCTAAGAAAAAAACATTTCTGCTAACTCTTTTAAGATAAACAAAATTAGAACTTAAAAAAGAACTGTTAAAGTTATAAAATACAGTATATATGCATTGTTGACTACAGTCAACAACTGTTAATTTACTTATACTTCAATATAATAACCCCTCAGAAGGTAACGTCACCTCTTTTCCCAAATTAAAAAGGCCAACTGTTAAGAAGGCACAAATGTGGAAAGGTGAGGTAAGGAAATAGATTATGGTGATGGAGAAATCTGTCAGCTAAAAAATATGGGGAACAATTGACTTCCATACAATGGGATATACTACTTATATTCTTTGAGTATAAAAATACGTATTTTTTTCAGCAAGAGAAATATATGAGTTCCTTATTCATTTTATGTAGATATTTTAAATGTAGATAAAGATACATTAATGATTTTTCTAAAACTAACCAGAGTCTATAATCAAAATATCTTTTGTTATTCTGGTGTGATTTCAAGTTATCACTTAATTATTGAATTATGAGATAGAGAAGGTCAAACTGTAAGATAAAATATCTCTTTATTCTCTTAGATCTTTCCACAAAGTCCAATTTTGAAAAATTTATGTCAATTACAATTTATTTTACATAAGAGATATAAACAAGATAAAAAGACCAGGAACAGGAAGAGCATGAGGGACTCCAGAGCCACCTCAGATGAAAATGTTGGGATAATCCTGAGGATACCTGTTAAAGAGAGGATAATGGTTGTTAAGGAAATGCTTACCCAGAATGTCACTGTGGCTCCTGATAAAAAGTACCATGGAATACGATTCCACAGAGGCATGTAAGGTTCCAATTCCTGCAATGTTGAAAAAAAATACACTGAAAATTTCAAAATCTGCCCTTGAAGTTGGTACTTCAAGCAGCATTGAAAATCACAGAGCATGATTAAAGTAGAACCCCACAAAAGGGCCCACAGTAAGGGACAAAATGGACACATATTAGCTGAGTGAGAGTCCTATTCAGGGCCTGATAGACAGGAAACAAGTCAAAACCTCAAGGGTGCTCTTAAGTAGACAAGATTTAATAAATTTATACTTTTATTCCCATTGAATTGAAATGAATGGCATTGCTCTATAATTGCTCTAGATGATATTAAATTTGGTGTGTTAATCATAGTGTAACTGTGTTCTTCCACATAGTTTAGCAGATCAGATTTTCTACCTAGAAGTTTTAAAGTCACGGATAAAGATTAATTACATAGGCTAACATTTTTGCTATATTAAAAGGTAGGTATACTTTACTAAATACATCTGCCATGTAGTAAAAAATAGTTGTCAGGGGCTGGGATTGTGGCTCAGTGTAAAGTGCTTGCCTCATATGGGTGAGACACTGGGTTCGATCCCCAGCACCATACAAAAATAAATAAATGAATAAAAATAGTTGTCAAGAAAAATAGAAGATTTCACATTTTATGGATTTTCAAGATGGAATGAAGGCAAACAATTCTCAATGGCCTGTGCAGACCATCCAAGGACACTACAGAAGTTTAGAATGTGTGTCCCTGTGTGCATGTGTGATTTTTTTTGTGTTAATGTGTGTACATCCAGTGTGTGCACTCTAATGTGTGCATATTTGTAAGTGCACCTGTGTGTGCCCATGCAATTGTGTTGTTGTCAATGCAGAATTAAATGTGAGAATTTTGTTTGTGTGTAAACACCAAAAAATGTTCCACAAGTAAGAGAAAAAAAAAATCTGCCTCTTGATTTCAAAACCAAGTGAATGATTCACTGTGAATCAACACATATTGCTTTTCAACCAGTTCCAACAGTAAACATTCATTTCATGTTTTGTTGGTGATGGTATTAATTGTGGGAAAACTAAAAGGGTTGACTTTTAAAAAAAATAATATGAAATAGGAATGAATAAACATTATATCTGTATCTTAATTTCAAACTACTACCCAACTTGTTCATGCATTTTCTGAGATGCATTTTATCCTTTATTCATTTACTAAACTTTTGTGACTTTTCAATGAAATATTATGTTTGGTGAATACTTGTATAGTGAAAAGAATTTTCAGTGTTATACTGAAAGAATAGCATCCTGAAAACGTGAGAGAATTGTATGGAATAGGTTGTGTTTGAGACATATTCAATATTCTCTTTCAAACAGCAGATTATGGACAAATATATGACCAAAATTCTGGTCTGTGAATGCAAATCATCTTCCACTTTCCCATGAAAAAATGTTAGTGACTAAGAGTTGAATGACTCAGTCAAGTATATACAGCCTGTCAGGCACAGTGGCACATACCTAGAATCCCAGAACCAGGAGTTTTAGGCAGGAAGAAAAAACGTTCAATGCCAGCCTGAGCAACTTGGTCCCTTAACATAGTCCCTGAGCAACTTAGACCCTATCTCAAAATAAAAATATAAAAGGAGTAGGGATGTAGCTCAATGGTAGAGCACCCTCCTGCTGAAAAAAAAATACAGCCTGTTTGCCAGTTAATGATTCTACAATATAAATTCCCTTACTGGCCATGCTCCTGCACACATTAATGCAATGATTTTACTATAATCAATTGGAAGGGACTATGTGAAGAAAATTCAGTCTAAAGAACCATTCACTCATAAGCCTACTATCTTAATACAAACATTATTCTAATTTTTGCATATTAACTTGGTGTCATTTCTATTTCTGTATTTATAGACAAAGCCCAAAGTATACACATTGTTTTTCATTTTCCTTTTACTCACCAAGTATTAAAACTATGTACAATGTTACAATGGTTTGGGCTTGCTTTAAAACAACCTAGTGGCATAAAGGTGTAATGAAAAGCATTGCGTTAATTAAAAATGATTGAAGCTGTAGGGAAATGCAAATCAAAACCACACTAAAATTTCATCTTATTCCAATCAGAATAACAGAAAATAATAAATGTTGGCAAGATTGGGAGTAAAAAGGTACATTAGTACATTGTTGGTGGGACTGCAGACTATTACAATTCCCCTGGAAAGCAGTATGAAGAATTCTCAAAAAACTAGGGATAGACCCACCATATGACCCAGCTATTCCACTCCTTGGAATCTTCCCAAAAGATCTAAAATCATAATACTACAGTAATATAGCCACCTCAATGTTTATTAAAGCACAATTTATAATAGTTAAATTATAAAATCAACCTGGGTGCCTGTCAATAGATAAATGGATTAAGAAATTATGCAGTTCTACTCAGCCATAAAGAAAAGGGAAAAAAATATGGCATTTGCCAGTAAGTGGATGGATATGGAGAATCTTATAAGTGAAATAAGCCAAATTCAGAAATTCAAAGGTCAAATGTGTTCTGTCAAATGCAGAATTAGAGTAAAATAAAGGAAAGGGGCTTGGGAAGGATAAGATAACATAAAGATAAAGGGAAGATTAGTAATGTAGAAGGAGATTGAAAGAGTAAAGGGATGGGTAAGGGGAGGCAAAGCAGAATGACTTTTAAAAACTCATGTTATATGCATATATAAATATATCACAGGGAGCTTCATCTTTATACAATCAAATATAAATAAATAGATGAATGAAAGGAATTCTAATAGAATAGAGGAAGGAACACAGAAGGACAGGAATGAAGAGGGAAAGGAATAAAAAGGGGATCAGGAACTGAAATTGAACTTCAAGAATGTATTAGTTTGTCAGGATGAACCCAACTACTATGTATAACAATGAAGTGCTATACAAATGTAAAAAAAATCATGTTTTATTGTAAAGCATAAGTAAAATTTTAAAATTCAGAAAAGCTAATAAATTTAGGATTGTGATAAAAAAATCAATGAAGTACTAATAAAAATTAGAAAAATGTTTGAAAATGGGTAATAGTTCCACCCATTGGGTCAGTATAGTTTTCCTTCTATTTTTGTATGTTTCTAAAGATTTTCATATATATATATATGGATATATGAATACATATGTACATATTACAAATAGAGAAGTTTACATGATTCATATTTTAGGGAATATATTAAAAGGAAATTAAAACATACATTATTATTTGAGAAGCAACCTAAAGCAGAGTGTTCATTGAGGTGAGCTGTCCGTTTCACAGTCTCCTAATGTACCTTTGTCACTGGGTTCATTTTCCTGTGTTTACACATAGCTTCAAATTCAGGTCTCAGTTGAAGCTGCTGCTGTTCCTCTTCAAAGTCCACTAAATCCCACTCATATTCCAATCTGGCCTGTCGCTGTTTCCAAAACTCCAAAAACAGTGTGACTATAGGTAAAGAATTTTTTAAAACCCATAATAAAAGAAGAAACAAAATTAATAAGAAAATAATTTTCTCCCACTTCTTCATTATTTTGGCTGTAAGGTGGTTCATATTTTTCAGGTGGCTATATTCTGTCATTGTTAGATTATGAAATTACCAATGATTAATGTTGACAAAATACTAAATAATAACATTCAAATAACTCATATACAAAAATTCAAGCTAATTTATTAGTAGTTCAACAAGAAATTTTATTCAAGCATATTATGCTGTTTCTTCATATAATTTTATGTAATATTTGAACTAAACATTTTAATGAACACTAAGATTTCTTTGAATGTGTTTTACTGAAATCATTCAAGTTAACATACATTTTCTCAAGTTTAGGGAAATGTTACCTAAGAAGAATATTTAAGGAAAACATAAGAACTATTTCCCAGTGTAGTTCAATCTTTCTCGCCCCCCCCCACCTCGTGCGCGTGCACACACACGATTCCACATACTACAGTATATGTGTAACTTCAAATTTCAATGGAATGATAACACATTTATGGAAAAGTACATAAACAATTAATTATGCAATTAGAAGAATTTTCACAAAACACTCACACTCATTTATCAGTACAAATATATTTTAAAAAATAGAAAATGAGCAATACCCCAGAAACTCTCATTCTGAATCTTCTGAAACAGAAGTAACTAGTACCTTAGCTTCTAAATCACAGGATAGTTTCACTGTCTTTGAACTTTTAAAAACTGGTGTCATACAACAAAAAATTTTTTGTTGAGTATGTCATCTTTTAAATTAAACCACAAATGTATTTATTTATTCTTGGCATGATGAACATTTGAGCTATTTATAGTTGTTCACTATTGAAAATGTTTCTTCTTTGAACATTCTAAGATATACCTTTTGGTGGGCATATATGTACCTTTTATGGGATATATATCTGGGAATAGAATACTGCAACAGAATCAGCTTGTTATTTTATCATTTATGAAATATTTAACTTTTAAAGTTTCTTCTTACTCAATCTCTACCTTTTAAATAATAACTGTGGATTATGTATGAACATTTTTAAAGCCCTAATTATATCTTTTCAAAGTATTACAATTCTCATTTAACTGGTCTCTCTGCCTCCAACATATGTCCTTTTCAATGCAAATATACCTATCGCCTGAATGCCAGTTTTTTGTTTGTTCATTTGCTCATATGTACATTTGCTTATTATGCTCTTTTGCTGATTACAAAATATATTTTATTGTTTCAAGAATGCTTAATATCATATCTACCATCTTAACTAATTTCAAGAGTACAATTCATTATTGTGAACCATAGGTTCAATGTTGTATACATCTCTAGAGCTTATTTATCTTTCTTAACTGAAACATTATGCCCATTTGTTACTGATTACTAACACTCAAATTCCCAGTCTCTTAGTCCCTATCAACCACCACTATATACTCTGATTCTATCAATTTGATTATTATAAATATTTCATAAGAATGGAATCATGCACTGCTTATCTTTCTGTCACTGTCTTATTTCACTGGGAAAAAATGTACCTATGTTTCGTCCATATTGTTAGATATCGTAGATTGCCCTTATTTTTCAAGGCTTAAAAATATTCTATTACATGTATATACAGCTAATTATAATCCATATATCTATCTATGGACATTTTGATTGTTTGCACATCTTATCATTATGGATTATGTTTCAATGAACATAGAAGTGGTAACATTTCTGCAAGATCCTGATTCAGCTATTTTGGGTAAATATCCAGAAGTAGGAATGTTGACATATAGTAGTGCAATTTTTAACTTTTTGAGGAAACTTCATTGTATTTTTCACATTTACTGCATCATCTTGCAATCCTAACAACAGTATGAAAGGGTTCCATATTCTTTATGTTCTTACCCATGCATGTTTTATATGTGTATGTGTGTATCTATTTATATATATATAATCCATCTTGAGAAGTGTGAGTTTATACCTCACTATGGTTTAGATTGTCACTTTCCTGACAACTGGTGACATTAGGCATTTTTTTCATATATGTGTTGGCCATTTGCATATCTTCTTTGGAGAACTTTTTATTCAAATCCTTAACCCATTTTTAATAAGGTTGCTGATGTCTTTATTTTTCTATGCAGGATTGAGTAAAGGAGTTTATAATACAGTTTGGATACTAAACTCTTATGAGATAAAAGGTTTGCAAATATTCTCCCATTCCACAGGTTTTGCTGTCATTGTGTTTCCTTTTATCATAGAAGCTCCTTAATTTGATATAGACTCACTTGTTTATTTCTGAACATATTGCCTAGCATCTGGTGTCATGTCTATGAAAACATCGCTCACACATGTGTCATGAAGCATTTCCCCTACATTTTATTCTAGGAATTTTACAGGCTCTGATCTTATGTTTAGGTCTTAAACCCATTTTCATTTGATTGTTGCTATGGTAGAAGGGTTCAATTTCATTATTTTACATGTGGATAGCTAGGATTCCCAACACCATTTGTTGATGGGATCTGGCTCACTATCACTTCTCCATTGTGTATTCTTGGAACAAATCCTAAAGACAGGTTGACTGTGTATGAGTAAACTTCATGGAAATCAAATTTTCCATCGATTAACCACTGCAATGTGTACTTCTATCATACCACATGTGACGAATCTATACTATTTTGACTGTCAATTTAAAAGAAAAACAGAGTAATTCATCTAGAAGAATAAGAGACCCAGAATAGCCAAAGCAATCCTGAACAAAAAGAGTGATGCAGGATCACAGTCAGATCTCAAATTACACTACACAGTTACAGTAAAATTATTAGCATGGTATTGGCATCAAAATAGACATGAAGACCAGTGGAATAGAATAAAAGACACTGAGACCAATCCACATATATTCAGTCATCTGATGTTCAACAAACATGCTAAAAATATATGTGGAAGAAAAGATAGACTTTTTTTAAAAAAATGGAGCTGGGAAAACTGGATATACATGTGTAAAATGAAACCTGACCCTTATTTTTCACAATTCACAAAAGTCAATTCAAAGTAGATCAAAGACGTGGGAATTTCACCAGAAAATTTGCAAGTATAGAAGAAAACAGGACCAACACTCCAAAGGCATTAACTTTTTTTTTTTTTTTTTTTTTTAACATGACTCCTAAAGCACAAGGGTGGGGGAAAGGAATCAAATTTAAAAAAGTTTCTGAGCAGCTGGGGATATAACTCAGTTGGTAGAGTGCTTACCTTGCGTGCACAAGGCCCTAGGTTCAATACCCAGCACCATAAAAAAAAAAAAAAGTTTCTGCACAACAAAGGGAATGATTAAGAGCATGAAGAGTAGGCCTACAGATTGGAAGAAAATCTTTGACAGCTGCTCTTCCAACTGGGGTAATATTCAGACTATATAAAGAACCCCTCAAAACCACCAAAACAAAACAACAATGATGATACCAAAAACATAACTTAATTAACAAATGAGCAAAATAATTAAACAGACACTTCTCAAAAGAATAAATATAATTGCAACAAATTTATGAAAACTGTTCAACACCATGGAAATCAGGTAAATGTAAATCAGAACTGAGATTCCATTTCACTCCAGTCAGAATGGCAATTATCAAGAACACAAACAATAATAAATGCTGGTGAGGGTGTGGGGAAAAATGTAGACTCATACATTAAATGGAAGACCAGTAGAATAAAGGAAGGGGGACAGGGGAAGAAAGAGGGAAGGAAAGGGGAAGTACTAGAGACTGAAATGGAGCAAATTATATTCCAAGCTTGAATGGTTATGTCAAAATTAACACCACTATTATGTATAACTATAATGCACTATTAAAAACATTTAAAAGGTAATTCAGTCCTTGTCTGATTCTCCACACTTGAAATGGACTTCTATGAAAATAGTCTTTAGATTGTGTCCCAATCTTTAAACTGTTGTTTTCTTCCATAACAGGTTATATTTTACACAAACTTTCACTCACTCATTTTATCATTTAGTGCTGATTTTCAATTTTATGAGACAGGTATTTTAACTCTATTCATTTTTTTCTCTTGCATATACTAGACACATGTAGGGATAAAAATGTTTCAAAAGTCTGATACAAGTAAGCAGGTTTTTTTTTTTTTTTCCTTGTGGTGCTGGGGATTGAACCCAGGGCCTTGTGTATGAAAGACAAGCACTCTACCAAGTGAGCTCTATCCCCATCCCATTAAGCAGGGTTTTACCATTTGTTTCTTTATTTAAATTACAAGGAAAAAACTACTATAAATTTCTGAAGTAGTATTTGGTTACCATAGCTCTGTAAAACAATAGGTGATCTAAAAGTGTTAATGACCTAAATGTGTAATAATGGAGAACTGATCAGGTAAAATGTGATAAATTGACAAAAGGCAATTCTACTTAGTCATAAATACACATGTCCATATGTACACATGTACCTGCACCCTGTCACACACATTCATTGATACGAAAGGAGTCCCATGATTCATTGTTTGCTGAGTGAAAAAAGCATGCTGAAAACAATTTATATAATATTATGTTGGTTATGTGAAATTACATGAATATAAGTCCCACATACTCAGAGTGAAAGATTCTGGAAAATTATGGACAAAATAATTATCACATTTTGAGTGATTCTAACATTTCCTATTGCTATATTCTGTTTGAATTTCACATGAAGGTTGTATGTTTTCATTATTAACAAACAAAAAACATTGAAGGAAAACACTCCATACCCTCAACCAAAAAGCCTTCTTTATATTGAGTGTCAACTAACTTTGGAAATGTCGCACCTAGTGCTTCATTTTTTCAATTTTATATTGGAAGTTGATGTGATATAGAGTCGTTCCTATCATCAGAATGAAAATTTATTTCTATAAGAATAACTCATGAAAAGGTCACTAAAATGTATATCAAAACATGGGGATTCTGGGGGAAAATAGACTTCTTTTCTTTCCAATTAGTAGCAAAATCTAACAAATACA